CCAGGTGCAAGGTTCTGTGAGAACGTAACAGCATGGGGTCGTGCTACGAGTTGGTGACTCTTCATAGCCAGTGTTAATCATGGTTATGATATTTTCGATGAGTCGGGAATGCAACCAAGGTCCTCATTTTATATTTCTGGGTATTCTTAGCCCAAGGCCTGGCATACAGTAGGTGGTTATTAAATACTTGATAACTAAATGAGTGATGCTTTTTCTTATGAGAGAAAATAAATGTTTTTAGAAGAGTCAACTTTATACCATGGTTTCAGGGAATGAATTGTGATGAAAAGTGAAGATTGCTTTTACTTGAAAGAGGCTGACAAATTTCCCAGACCTAGGATCACTTTATGTGGTGTATGATTTAGGGGTGAGTGAGCATGCCAAAGCGCTCCAGTTGAGCTGAGTGATGGGGAATGAGTTGTGGAGCTGTGGTCTTAGATGGTATTTTGTGAAAAATAGTGGGAGATTTATGGCTGTTAAACAACTTTGTAGCTGCCCCTTCTTGTTGCAGAGCCTGCCAACTCTCCTTCTGTGGTCTGTATCATGTTCCTTCAGTGCATCCATGATGTTCAGAAATATCCACCGGAACTCCTGTTTCCGTTGAATGCACCCGATGGGAAAGGGCCTGAATTTTACACATTCGTCTGAAGACATTAGTCATCTGTAACCAATGAGTGACATCCTCACGTTACGAGCCTCCTGTAGTATGCTCTATACTTGCACTGAATTTTTTCCAAGGTTGCCAAAGTTCCCCTTTCCTTCCTGCATCATGGACATTGCAGGGTGCAGTATGTTAGTGACTATTACCGTTATTGATATGATTTTAAAAAATTACTAGCAACTCTTTAATCATGAGTAGGAGAAGAGTAGAGAAACCTTCAGAATGGTTTGACAAATCTTAAGCAGAAGGACTTAGAAGGGCTGGAATGAGCATTTCAGGCCTTAATGTGGAAGGGAGACATATTTATTATTACCAGCTTTCCCCCCACCCCCCAAATTCTTAGGTTACAATAGCTTTAGAAGCAACAGAAGTGATATTTTATCACAAAAAGCAACCAGAGATGGCATTAATCCATGCTGTAGGAGTGCTGTAGAATTGTTTTAGGAAATTTCCTCTAATGATGAATTCATATCAGTAGAGAACTGCATGAATCAGAGCAGAAACGGGAGTGTTTTTTTGTTTTTTCAGGTTTAATTTTGAGAAATTTCAAAAAAGTAGAAAAGCTTTAAAAAGATGAACATATGTAGCTACCATCCAGAATGTGTAGTTTTAATAATATTTTGACATATTTGCTTCAAGCCTTTTCTTTAAATAAAACAAATAGCCATTATATATAAAGTTGAAGTCCCCACCATCTCACCCTACTAGCCCCAGTCCTATTACCCTGCTGCCTGAATTTTCATGAATTTGGTGTATATCTTTTATAATTTTTAGGTGTTTCCATACACAAATGGGATTAAAGAACTACATATTTACATAAATAATATTATACTGTATTTATCATTCTGCAACTTGCATTTTCACTCTATAGGGTCGCTATGAGTTGGAATTGACTCGACGGCAATGGGTTTGGTTTTTGGTTTTTTATTACTTTTTTAAGACCTATTCAAATTGAGATATATAAATCAGATTTGTTGCTTTTAAATGTTAATTACCTCATCATATGAATATGCAACACTTTATTTATCCTTTTTCGTCTTTGGTGGACTTTTGCGTTATTTCCAATTTGTTCTGTTATAAATAATGCTTCAGTGAACATTGTTATATGTTTCATGTTACAGCCCTGTGTGAAATTTTTCATAGTGTATATTTTAAGTGAAATTGCTACACTAATTTTTAATTTTATTAAATATTGCTAGATTACTCTCCAAGGTGGTTGAACATTCTCACTGGCAAAGGATAAGAGGATTAGAATTTTGTTTCTCTTCATTTTCACTAGCTCTTATTATTGTGATACTTCAAACTTTGTCAGTATGATGAGTGGAGAAATTGTATCTCATTGTTTTAATTTGCATTACCCTTATTAATAGTAAATTTGGCCATCTTCTCTTTTGTTTATTGTTCATTCAGTTTTTCTCTTAGAGTTGCCTGACATTTCCTTTGTTCATTTTTCTATGTTTTAAATTGAATATTGATATTTTATTGTATATCTTGCAAATATCTTCTAGAAGGAGTGATTTAAAAAGTAAAAATAAAAGTATACTGTCTTGCCATAGGTAGTTCAGAAATTTGGCAAAGACTCAAAGATTTGAGAGTCTTTGTAATCCTGAAGATTCATATTTATCCAAATTTCCCTTTCCCATTTTAGACATATTTTTCTTAATTCAGGTAAAAGAAAACTTTTCTTAAATGTTACCATTTATGTTTCTATTATTTCATACCCAATATACTATGAATGTATTGCTTCAGTTTCAGAAGGAGTTCTTTATTCTTTGGCAGATAATGTGCAAATTCAAGACATTTTCTTGTCCCTTTCTTTCATATGATAATTGTACTTTTCTGAATTATGCTTCTAAGCATAAGGTACAGAGAATAAGCATGTACATCTCAATTGAAAAGATCACATGGCTTCATTTTGATAAAAGTCAAGTCAAAGATTTGGTGGTTTGAATCTTGATTTGCAGTAGTTTATCTAAACATCCAGCTGTGAAAAGGCATATTTTGCAAAATTGTTCTTTTCCTGGATTCTTTTCCATGACTTGAGTGTATAAATGGAAGCTGGACATAAAAGTCATTGAATGCTGGGTATAGAATGAAGACTGTAAAACAGAACTCAAGCCACACCATTTTTGCTTTGTCTACATTTGGAAGTAAAACGAAGTAGCTCTTTGGCTCTTGGTTACGGAGCTCCAGTGTTCTGCCCAGTCAGAGGTATCTGCTGAAAGGTAGAGTTTCTCTAGTAATTTTAGGAAAAGCTGTCATCAAATTGTCAGCAGCCCAAATTGAGATTAAAAGTACTAAGAAATATCACAATACAGCAACCTAAAACTCATACTGGAGTTCCAGTTTTTTTAGTGATGAGGTGAAGCAGAAACATTGACAGAGAGAGTGGCTACGGCCTTTGCGGAGGAGGTACGGCAGCGGTGTGGAAGGACAGTCCACCTTAGAACGCTGTCATTGTGTTTCATTCAGCACACAGCAAATAGAGGAGACCTTGAATGCCAAACTGGGAGACATGTGGGGACTGCAGTGTTTGAATTTTAATCTAATTTCTGACTCTTTCACATTCTTGCAGCATCCTAAATGTCCAATGATGTAGTATCCAGCAAGTCTTATTTGCTTTTTAAAACATTTTTCTTGGTGACTGAGCTTTTATTCTCCTGTACCCAGTACCCTTGGATCAAGCTTTAAACACCACATATTTCCCTTGGAGCTGGACTGAAGTAATGCTACCTGAAATCTGTCTCTACCTTAGGGACAGAGTTTCTGATTTTGCTCCATTCAAAACTCTGTAAGTCTCCACTGAAAGCAGCTTAATCAAACATCTCAAATGTCAGAAATGGGGTTTAAGGGTTTTTCTAGCAAGTAGGTCTAATCTCCTACTTATTTTTGATTCCCATAATGTAGGTAATCTCTTTGGAGAAAAGGCCTGCTTCTAGCAGGGCAAATATATCCCATAGAATGTATTTCCTATTCCAGAAAGAAAAATGTGGCGTTAATGAAATTTACTTTTTCATGAAGCTTGGAAAGGTTGTAAGCTTAGGATTTTGATCCTAGCAGATGTTCTTTTTTGGATATTAAAAAAAAAAAAAGGTTCATTTGATTCGTAAGTCTCGGTAAAAAGTTGCAATGGTATTGCTTCTTGCTATAAGCAGTCATACCCTGGATATGACTTACTGGTCACCGGCTCTGAAAGACAGCCAACCCCACAGCAATAGTCCATTTTTTGTGCTTCAGCCACCAAGGATGTGGAGTTAGGGGGAGAGTTAGTAGCCTGGACCGCATCATACACAGTTCCATGGTGAAAGAGCTGTTTGTGTACAGTAAGAAAGCATCATCATACATACATATATTTTAATGTTTTTTATAGGGTACTGTCTAGTGTCATTTTCTTTTAGGCCTTGGAATAGCAAAGTTTTCTTGATAACCATTATATGCCAAATTTCAACTGGTTTTCTCAGTGATACTGTTAAACCTAGCCAGCACCCCAATTCCACAGTCTGTGACCATTTATACACTTATGGTACCTTCCTGCGGCCGAGTTACTCATCTTTTCTCAGTCTCTATGCCATGGGATCAAGTGAACCAGCTTTGTGTTTTTCCCCATTTACCCTGGGGCTCAGCCTTTTCACTGGTTTCCATAGAAATCTGCTAACAGTGAGCATTTACTTTGTGGGAGTAACTGGGAGAGGCCTGTGATAGAAGTCTAAGTCCACACCATTTCCTGCTTTCAGCCTCTCTCTCTTTTCCTCTTCTCTTCTCTCTCTCCATTCAGCATAATAAACAAACCTTCCCCTTGTCTTCACAGAGCCCTTCTACCTATAGTCGGGCCCCTACGCTAGGTTTTAGCTGCCCTTGAGTCGGCCCAAGTCATGGTGACCTCATGCACAAATGGAACAAAACACTGCCTGGTCCTGTCCAACCCGCATGATCAATTATGGATCAGATGGTTGTGATCCATAGGGTTTCATTGGCTGATTTTCGGCCTTTCTTCCTAATTTGTCTTAGTCTGGAAACTTCCGGAACCTGTTTAGCATGCTAGTAACTGACAAACGGGTGGTGGCTCACCTGAGGTGCACTGGCTGGGAATTGAACCCTGGTCTCCTGCATGAAAGGCAAGAGTTCTACCCCTGAACCACCACTGCTGTCACCTTACACTTACCAGAATATTATTTCAACAAAGACCACTCTTGCTTCCTAAGAAACCTCTAATATTTTAATATTTTAATAAACTGATAATATTTTCTTCTAAATTCAGATTCCAGTGAGACCTGTTTGGTAATCAAGGGTATTTAGTATTTGGTGTTGCTTCATGTTGACATTTGTTTTTATCATACAGGCTTCCAGTGAGGATGTTGCTGCCTCTCCAGAGTGCCACTATACACCCCTGCCTTCTGCTTCCAGGGAGCTCACCAGTCACCGAGGTAGGGACTCAGCTTGTTATTGCTCAGTGGCTGCAGGAAGGGACACTTTGCCATACAGAGCTCTGGGCTCATTACTGCTGCCTTTGTACTCTAAAAGGAATGCAGTGCTTTTTCAGTCCTTGATGAGAAAACCGTACCTGTCAAACCTAGCGATTTTCACTCATATTAAATAGAATTCAGTGGCAGTCTACTGGGAAGGCAAATAAACCCATGGTTTAATATAATTTTGTGATTTTTTTGTTTGAATAAGGAGATTGTAGTATTTAAAAATTAGTAAGTAGATCATTGCATTCAGCAATAGTGATGGAGAGAAATTGGGAAACTCACTAATACTTATAAAAGTATTGTTTGGGAGTGTAATAATTGAAATCTGTAATTTCCAAATGAATGAACTCACTTACAATTAAAAGGAATTCCAGTTTGCCTGGCAACATTGGAAAGAATCAATGTGCAGTTTTCACTGAATTCTCTGATCCTCAAAACATTAATTTGGCTTATCCAATTCTTCCAAAGCCTTGAATTCCTGTTGCCATCTTTAGAGTCCACAGCTTCAAAAGCAGGCAGAATACTGCCATGAAGTATCATTTGAAAATAAAATGCCTTATACCTAGGCTGGATGCTTGGTCCAAGGATTATGTAATTTCCCTTTTAGGAATTGGTAAGGGCAAGAAGAGGGCATATGGTGTAATGTCTTTACCCTGTTTTATATTGATTATGATGACAGCCACATTTCCTAATTATGAATCTACCTTCCAAGGTTAAATACATAAAGACTCAGACTGAGAGTGTCACATACTCTAAACATTATTTCTCCAAGCAGGAAATTCCCCTTGTTCATCAGAGGACAGCAACTAAGGGCTATTCTAGCTTTGTCATCCCAGCTACATTGCTGGATATAGGAGGAAAGGCAATGGAGACTCTCCGAAAGTGGTACGGTTGGGTCTCTGAGAAGACTTACAGGCTCTGAGCAAGTGGCACATTTATAGTCTGCAGGAAATGATCAAGAAAGGAATGCAGAGCCCTAGGTGTCTATGAATCAGACCTGTGTTGCCTGTTGGATGGTGTCACACTATAAAGTTGAGAGGTTCTGATGTCAGGGTATCAGTAGAACTTTTCTACTTTTCAATATACTTCAGTTAATTAGGGCTCAGTTGTGATTCCCTTCATTAATTGTCGATTTTATCAACCTGACTCCCAGTCAGGTTGGATGAGTAGCTGTCAACGTGTTACATTTTGAGGGGCATGAGCAGGTCTCCTTGATTGAATGTCCTTACAAAGGCCATTTTTGTCTTTCTCTATGCCTTTAGAGACCATTTTGGGTAATTCCTATAGGCAAATAACAATGTCATATTTAGAAGGAGTAAAAAATTAACCCTGGCATCATATTCTCATGGGTTTATTCATTGGTTTCTTGTTTTTGAATAAAGGAAATTTTACTTTGTAGCCTGTTGAGTACACTGCATAGGAAGTGAAGTCTCAGACCTCAAACACACTTGAAAAAATTTATCTAGCCATGAAATTGGCATATCACAATAGGAGGACATGATCAAATAAGTGATAATCATCAAGAATAGGAAAATACCATCTGCCATTTTAACAATAAGGTAAGAAACCTAAACCTTGAGGAAATAGAATATAAGACAGTAAGTTTTGAAGGTGATTGAGTAATATTTAGAATATGAAAAAATGCTTAGACTTAGAGAGAAAATGGGTGCCTTTGATGACATCAGAGCCCAACAGCAGTGGACAAAAGGGATCCAGGATCTAAGGACAAACATCTCTTACTGAGAAATATCCCTACACACTTAACACACTGGTTGGCTGATCAGTGCTAAGGGCATGGATGTTGAAAAAAGCAAGTCTGCATTATAAAACAAGGGTCAGTTCTTTGGGTCCATGGCATGAAGAGACTGGTAAAGAGAGAGCCAAAGACAGCTCCTTAAGCCTCCATTGTTGGTCTGATCTGTTTATAGAAAAGGGGAGAATGGTATATTTCATCTTGGCATGACTCATGTAACAGCAAATGGGAAAATTATTTCTTGAACCCAGAATAAAACCACTTAATGCCATCTTGTTTTTCTTCTAATTAAAAAAAAAAAAAACCTAAACCCTTTGAGCGTCGTTTGTTAATACCTTCATGGAAACAGCTTATAAACATTTATGGAGAGGGGGCCTTTCTTTCACAATGTGAAGGCACATTACATAAATTCTTTCCCAAATAAAATCCTCCATGATGTCTGAAACTTGGTCTATAAAATCCTAACTGGAAGTTCTATTTGCAAATAATTTTTGATTCATCCAGTTCTCAATCTCTTTTCATTCCGCACCAACAGCTACAAAAACTGGTGGGCAGTCGTTTATGTGCAAATTGCTATTTTTCTGTACATGCCATTTTCCCTTTACTTGTCCTTTTATGTAACTTCCAATGTCGAGTGTGATAGGTCCAAGATTCATGTCCTAAGGATTGTAGATTCAAATGCAAAGCAAGTCTTGGCCTAGAATAATGATCAGGAGACAGGGACTCACTTTTTCCATCTGTCACTTATGGATAATCCATACATCATAAGGAGAGTAATGTTCAGTACTTTCTGCTTTCTGCACAAAACTTTTCCTGACCTTAGCTGTGTTGATTTTTCCTCTGCTTAAGATACTTTTAATATTTGTTTCACCTTAGTGCAATTTTTCATATTCTGCTTGGCAAGACTGAGGTCATGTATATATAGATCTTAAATTCTTCAGAAGTGAAAGCTCTCTGAGAGGAAATACTGAGTCTAACCTCTCCTCTCTTTAACATCACTGACTCATTCTTCAGGTATCTGGTTAAACATTACATTCCCAAAAAGGACTGCCCCATCCCGCCCTCCACATTTATACTAGGTATCTTAGTTTCTTAGGGCAGCCGTAACAAAATGCCACAAAGAGGGTGGCTTTAAAGAACAAAAATTTATTGTCTCACAGTTCTGGACACTACAAGTCCAAGTCAGGGTATCAGCCATGTTGATTTCTTCATTCCTTCTGAGAGCTTTGAGAGGGGAACTGTTCCATGACTGTCTCTGAGCTTCTAGTGACTGCTGGCAATCCTTGGCATTCATTCGCTGCTGTAAATATAGCTTCACACAGTCTCTGCCTTTTGTGTGTGACTCTGTAACACCACTCAAAAGGAATTAGGACCTACCCCACTCTAGTATGACTTCATAAACTTAACTGATAACAAAGAAAAACTCTGTTTCCAAACAAGGTCACATTCACAGGTACAGGGGTTAGGACTTTATATCATTTTGGGGGACACAGTTTGATCCATAGCACTAGTCAGTTTCTCTTGTTCAGGGACTGTTCTTTCTAGATAGGAGATATGCTCTTGGGAGGAAGGGAAGGGGAGGGGATTGTATCTATTTGTATAAGCAGTGCCTGACTCAGGGCCTCCTACTTAAATGGAGCTCAATAAATATTTGTCTAGCAAATGATGAATGATTGAAACCCAGGGGGAGAGTCAGTTCTTAGATAACTTCTACTAGGTAACTTGATCGCATCTGAGATGGAGATCCATCTTCCTTTGAGAGTGAGCACACAGGGAAGGGAAGGACCAGTCTCGTGGACCTCAGTCCTCAGCTCTGTTGCTTCCAAGAAACCAAACCATCATAAATGGTAGCCATATCTATTAATTAATTGCCAGAGGGCATTCAGGCATATAGCACAACTGCCAAATTGATAATTATTTTAATGTGGTACTTTCAAACTTTGGTGTTGTGATGGTAGGGAAGGAAATAGAATGGATCGAATCAACTGATGGAATTATTTTACTAGAACAGAAACTCTCAAAAGAGAGGCTGGCCTCTCAATAAGATGTAGGTCTTGATGTACACATGTTTTTAGAATGGTCCTCCTGAAATCCCTCTGAGTATACTGTGCTAGGTCTGAGTATGCCTTTGGAGTACAGGGGACATTGGCTGTGTCAGTGATCTCAAGCTGTTTCCTAGTTTACATAATGGGTCCTCCATGGGTCTTCAGGCTCTAAGGTATGTTGAAATGTTTGTTGGAGAAATGTCTTTTTAAATATGTTATGTGTAGTGGACATATCCCAACATGCCAAGAATTGGCACTCTTTATCCGGTAGCTATAGAACTAGAATTTGCATTTATATAGACCATTTTGTCTTTGGGGAAAAACATTCCTATTTAGAGCATAGACCATATTATCCTCCCAACAACACCATAAAGTGGGGAGGGCAAATATTGTTATTCCCATTTAACAGAGGAAGACACCAAGAACTGCTGGGGCTGACCAAGCCGGTCAATGACAGAGCCAAGAAAAAAACATCAAAGCTATGTGCTCTTGATCCCCCTGCGACCACTGATTTTCATCCTTCATACAGGATATATGAAGCCAGTGCAAGAGGGACTAACTGTGGCTTGTGCTAGAGGGAAAAGGTGAAGCAGAAAAAAGTGCAGGGAGAGATATAGACCAGAAAAAAAAAAAAGAAAAGAAAAGAAAAATCCACTTCCAGCAGTGGATTTCCAAAGCCTATGCTGGAAACCCTGGTAACGTAGTGGTTAAGAGCTATGGCTGCTAACCAAAAGGTCAGCAGTTTGAATCCACCAGGCACTCCTTGAAAACTCCACGGGGCAGTTTTTCTTTGTCCTATAGGGTTGCTATGAGTCGGAATCATCTTGACAGCAATGGGTTTGGTTTGTTTTGGTTTGATGCTAAAGCTGTGGCAAGGAACAGCACCACTGCCTGTTTCTATCAAAAGAATTGCCTATTGGTTCCTAAAAAAGTTAAATATAGAATTATCACGTGACCCAGCAATTCCACTCCTAGGTATATACCCCAAAGAACTGAAAGCAGAGACTCAAACAGACATATGTGCACCACTGTTCATAGCAACATTATTCACAATAGCCAAAATGTGGAAACAACCCAAGTGTTCATCAACAAGTGAATGGGTAAACAAAATGTAGTCCCTCCATACAATGGAATATAACTCAGCCATAAAGATAAATGAAGTTCTGATACATGCCACAAAATAGATGAACATTGAAAACATTCATTTTGCTAAGTGAAAGAAGCTAGACACAAAAGGACAAATAGTGTATGAGTCCACTTTTATGAAATATCTAGAATAGGCAAGGCCATCCAGACAAAAGAAGATTAGTGGTTACCAGGGGAGAGAGGAGAGGGAAATGGGGAGATTAAAAAAAAAAAAAAAATTGCCTGTGTTACTCTTCTCCCCTTGACCTATTTTAAAACTTTATAAAACAATAAAATCAGGGGCAGAGAAAGTTTGAAAAATGAAAGGAGACAATAGAAGACATACTGTATATTCAAATTATGAAGGGTTTTAATGTGAGGAGTTGGAGGCTGACACAATCAGTGAAGGACTGACAGTCACAGTTGAGGAAGCCCCAGCCAGAGTCTCAGCCTCAACACTGAGGCAGGTGATTCTCAAGAGCTTGTTGGAAAGTTCCTGTGAATCTCAGGAACACTTGGGAATCTCCCGCTGACTTTTTCAACCTGTAGCACCGATGCCAGTGATTCTAAAGTAGTTCAGTTGGAAATTGCCTCAGACATTACAATTGACTGTCCATGCATTGCCCAGCCCCTCTTCTCTCCGGACTTCCAAACCTTACTCTAGTGGCTTTCTTTGGCAGATTCTAACCTAGAACCATGAAGGTCTCTGTGTGGTACAAACAGTTTGCACTTGACTACTAACCTTAATATTGGCGGTTCTAACCCATCCAGTGGCACCATGGAAAAAAGGCCCAGCAATCTGCTTCCTTAAAGATTATAGCCAAGAAAACCCCATGGAACAAAGTTCTACCCTGTTAACACATGGGGTTGCCTTGAGTCTGAATGGTAGAACCATACACTAAAGAGGATTCTGGGAAATGTAGTTTCCAATTCCTCTTCTGAACTGCAGAGAAGACCTTGGAAGAGGTTGGTAATGATGCCCAGTTGAAACAGACAGTGAGGCACATCTACCGTAATCCTACCTGGCCAACAGCTATCATGCTGAGGGTCTCATTCCAGTTTGTCTGCAAATACATTTTACAAAGTAATTGCAAGCCCAGTGAACATTCCCGAATTATCTCTTCCCCCTAATGCTTATATAGTCTGAAGATGTACCATAGTGAGCCTGTCATATTATGCGTTGGACCTTAATTTCGTTACAATTGGTATAAACAGTATGTCAGCCATTTTTATGCCTGGGGACCTCAGAGGTAAGGCATTATTCTAGTTCTAATGCATTTAGTGTCAAGGTGGGTCCCTTTTGAAATGGGTGAGGTTGAGCAGACCTGACTTGGAGCCTGTTTGTGTAGGTTGAGCATTTTAGTAGATGATGCTTCTTGGCTGTGTTAATTTTGTAAACTTTTGCTTTTTTCCTCCTTTATTTCTATGAGATAAGGCTTACAGGCATAATTATGGCTTTCCTTTGTGATAGTCAGGGAGCCCTGATGGATTTGTTTTAGTTTTTCTGTGTCATATTTGGAAAACCAGAGGTTCCCCATGCACCGTAATGGAAAGGTGCCAGCAATAAATTATCTACCTAGTTCTTAGTGGCATACTGACGTGCCACAGATCGGTGGCGCCAAAGTGCTACTGGCCTCATTGGTAGATTGTATTGCCAGATCATAGTTCTCAAAATCCATATTACCAAACAAAAATTTAAACATACTCCATTAGTAAGCATGCATTCTGATACTGAAAACACAAGCCATCCAAAAAAAAATTAACTAGAAAAAATGTAGTAAGAGAAAGGGTTAAATGTATAAAAGAAAGAAAGAGAGAAACCAAGAGGAACTCTGCTGTGAAAACTTGCTTGGAGATGATACTATCCTACACCTACCAGCATTGGCAATCTTCCCCATTATTTTTATTGACACAGTTGTTAGGTGTTCATCCTCTTCTCAAGCCAGGGCTTGGTCTATTTGTGTTTGAAATTGATTGCTGGGACTGTCACAGAGTAATTTACATAGCAACTTATCATAATTAGTTATCGTTTGCAGTTTTCTTAATGCAAGTTGCATTTTATGTTTAGCAATTGATTTTTCTGTATATCTCCATGAAGCAGCTCAATGTGTGCCATCCAAAAAAGAAGAAAAAGA